GCTTCGGTGGACTTCACGTTGAGTCGGATTCAGCTGTTGCGCGGGTGTTGGTGGTGCTTCGTCGACTGTGACTGGTGTCGTTGTTCCTGCTGCTGCTGATGTTGTTGCTGCTGCCGATGTTGTTGCTGCTGCCGATGTTGTTGCTGCTGCCGATGTTGTCGCTGCTGCCGATGTTGTCGCTGCTGCCGATGTTGTCGCTGCTGCCGATGTTGTCGCTGCTGCCGATGTTGTCGCTGCTTCTTGTTGAATCGTTGCTAACGCTCTTGTTCGTTCTGCTTCAGGGATAGTGTGGGAGTACCAGAAGCCTCCCGGGCTGAAGTCGGGGTCGAGATCCGGAGGGTGTGTCCAATCAGCAAAGTTCACAATGGCGTCGCTGTCTGCAGTGCCGAGGTCGGGAGCGAAGTCGAGGACGAAGACGTTGTTCTTCAGCACTGCTTTCCCGATGTAGAGACCGCCTCTCCCGTGGTAAAGCTTGAACTCCTGGGTCGTGCTGTCGGCTTCCAGATGAATTCCTTTCGCCATCAACTGGCTAACGCTCAGTAAGTTGTAGCCGAGTCCTTCAGCGATGAGTACTTCAGACATGTGCAGTATGACATTTGTTTCTCTTGACTGAAGCTGTACCACTCCTTGTCTTCGTGTGCGCAGGTTTTGGTTGTTGGCAACCGTGATGATCACTTCCCGTTGGAGTCGATGTTCGCGTTGTACGAAACGCCCGGACGAGCACATGTGTTGCCCGCAGCAACTGTCCAAGAACCAGGTGTCTTGGCCGGACGGTTCACTTTGAGCGATAGCGGCGTAAGTCGGATTTGGATGGAGTGATTCGCGACGAGGCGTCCTGTTGTCGAGCTCCTCTTCCGGTGAGTAATGGGGTGGTGACTCTGTTATGCAAGAGTCGTTTATCTTGACCATGCAGTTGACTATATGTCTTGCTCCTTGTGCAGGTTGTCCAGTTGAGGTCGTTGAAGCTTGAATCGTGGTTGTCGAGCTTGCTTGTGTCGAAGCAACTTGGGTGCTTGAAGGCCGCAGTTGTCGCTGTGGTGTTGTCTGTCGAGACGGGCAGTGCGTGCGTGGGTGTCCTGATGTCTTGCAGATGTGACAAAATGGAGGTACTAGCTTCGGCTGCTGCTGTCGATTGTTGTAGTTGTTGTGTCGTCGCTGAGTATGGAAAGCAAACTCCGGTGCTAATGTCCTTTTCTTGTGTCTTTCTTCTTGCAGGTCCATATCCTGCTGCTCGGCGTGAATTTCTGCGCAAAGTGCCGCTTCGGAGATCCTTCCGTGTGCTCGAAGAATTGCTTTGGTGGCGCGCCACTGAGGACCGAGGCCACCGATGACGATTGTTACGAAGGCGTCTGTCAGAATATTATCTTATTGTTCTAGCCTGTAGTGGGGTGCTCTATAGCGAGTACAACCCTTCTAGGGTTTGCTATTTGTATCCTCATTCTTGCTAGTTCAATCCTCTTTCTTTCTTCTAACTTTTGACATGCTATCAGAGCAGGTCGATCCCCTTGGATCGATCCTGTGGGTGGGTTACCACCTCGCTTCCGCTGCTACTTTTTCCTACCGCCGTGCGCCCCGAGGCGCGCGGCGGTTTTCTGCCCGCCGTGCGCCCCGAGGCGCGCGGCGGTTTATTGCCCGCTGTGCGCCCCGAGGCGCGCGGCGGGCTTCTCCACTACGTCGCGGCCCCGCCCCGATCGTCGCGGCCCCGCCCCTTGACGCGGCCCCGCTCTACGTCGCGGCCCCGCCCCTTGACGCGGCCCCGCTCTACGTCGCGGCCCCGCCCCGGCCCGTCGCCGCCCGTGCGCCTGCCCGGCTCGGCCCCGCCCTTCGTCGCGGCCCCGCCCCGGCCCGTCGCCGCCCGTGCGCCTGCCCGGCTCGGCCCCGCCCTACCTTCGCGGCCCCGCTCAACGTTGCGGCCCCGCCCTATGTCGCGGCCCCGCCCTACGTCGCGGCCCCGCCCTATGTCGCGGCCCCGCCCCGACCGTCGCGGCCCCGCCCCTCGTCGCGGCCCCGGCCCCGTCCCCCCCCCCCCCCCCCCCCCCTTTTTCTCCCCTCCCCCCCAATTCCCGTCGTCCGTCGAGGCGACCTGAGGGGGCCGCTGTGGGGTGGCAGGTATGGGGGTGGCCAGTGTACTTTCCTCCCTTTGCTCCTCCTCCTCCTTCGTCTCCCACTGCTGCAGCTGTCGCTGAGGGGGGTGGTTGTGTGGGAGACTGGGTTTAGGGTTTAGGGGGGTGCGTGGGAGTAGAGCTAGTGGTGTAGCAGTGGGTGTGTATCAGGGGGGTGGGACTGTGTGCGGGAGGATGAGCGGAGGTTGCCAGTTTGTCGTCAGCAGCACCTGTAGTCCGGGGCGCTGTCCCGGTAGCCCAGTCGTAGCCAGCTGTGCCAGCCGCCCGTGGGTCCGTTGCCCGTCCGCCGCTATTTGAGCCGCGGGGCCTGTTACTCCTGTAGTCCGGGCGCTGTCCGGTAGCCGCTGTGCCAGTCTGCCTCCTGTTGCCCGTGTGTCTGCAGCTTCAGCCGTCGCCTCCTGACTCCTCTCCCCTCACTCTCCCTCCTCCTCCTCACTTGCCCGTTGTGACTACCACTAGCTTTGCTTATAATTGTAAACTCTAAACTATTTCTTCTTGAACTTGTGCTCAGAATGTGTGGTGACATTGTGATCCACCCTGAGCTTGTTTTGCTTTGCCTGCTCTGCTGATTACACCCCACTTTGGCTATGGGGGTGTGTCAGAATATTATCTTATTGTTCTAGCCTGTAGTGGGGTGCTCTATAGCGAGTACAACCCTTCTAGGGTTTGCTATTTGTATCCTCATTCTTGCTAGTTCAATCCTCTTTCTTTCTTCTAACTTTTGACAGCGTCTTCAGAGATTGACCCTCCACATCGAAGAAGCTTGTCGCGCAATTCGCGACATCGGCTGATATACGCCAACCCTTTTTCTCCTGGTTTCATTTCAACTGTTGTCAGTTGCGCCATTAACCTGCTCTGGTTTACACTGTCTGTTGCCTGGTACAGGTTCTTCAGATGGCCGTACGCGAGTTCCGCCGAGTTGCCGAAGTTCCGGTAAGAGCGAATGTTCTGCTGCTGGGTTGGTGTGATGTTTCTCAGTAGAATAGTATACGCCATCATGGATTGATACGTATACTGCTGCTTTTCATACTGTGTCCCGTTTGCTGGATACTGCAGGGATCCGTCGAAGAAGCCGAGTATCTGCGCGCCCTCCATCATCAACTCGAATTCAAAGGACCAGGTAAAGAAGTCCTTTCCGTCGAAAGGTCTTGACGTCTGTAGTTTCAGAACATGCGCGAACTGCGACTGTACTTGTAAGGCATCCATTGGTTTGTCTTGCGCAGGTGGAGGTTGAGGCAGGAAGCTGATTGACCCGCGTTCGTACGGGGCGAAGGTGGGTTGCTACTGTTGATTCCCTCGCGCGTATGACGACCCGTCAAGGCTCATGGGTGCCGCTCCGTTGTTGCTGTTGTGTGTCTGTGCAGATCCCGACTGCTGGTGTTGCTCGTAGAAGGACATGAAGGAGAAGAATTTCTCCATCATGTTCTGGTCGAAGTCAGAAGGGTGGTTCGTAGGAGTCTCGGTTGAAGTTCCCCTTGGTCTTGCTGCCGTGCCTTCCTCTGTCTGCAGGCCAGAGGCTGGTGGTGGAGTAGGAATAGTGCCCGAGGAGCCATTAGGAGAGCTCATTTCCTTGTTTGTTGCCATGTCTTGAAATGATTTTGAAAAGAGTTAGAGTTTTCCCCTGTCCGCTCTCATACCATGTTGGGCTGAAAAATAGCCCTTAGGATCTTTGCAGAGGAGAACTCTTGGGTAGAAACTTGTAATAGCGGAAGCGTTTAATGAGGATTGTGAACCGACCTTGCACTGGTGTGTGAGAGCAAAGTAGATTGAATTAAACAAGCAAATACAAGGATTTATATAAGAGTACAGGGAATACGAATAGATAGATAGATAACTGTATTGCTGTTGCGGTTCGATATAGTGCGACTCGGACAACTGCTCTGTAACGAGTCAGTTGTGTGTCCTTAACTGTCGCGCTGTAATTGTCGAGTCAAATGTCAGCGACCTTTGACTTTCTCGTAACCTCCAGGCGGTTACCCTAACCTCCGAGGTTGACTCGATGCTTCGATTGGGACTGCTTCGCTTGGTGCCTTGGATTTTGATACGACAGAAGCGCACTTAGGACTTATTGTTTCCAACAATCCTCATGTGTCAGAAGCATAGACTAGAGGCGGAGCGAAGCACATACAGCTAAGGTAATTTTTTTTACGTGAGCTGTAGCTGCACGGCCAGGCATGCGTAATACACTTTGCTTCAGGGGCTAACATAGTTGACATCTTCATTAAGGCGCACCCACCTCATGATCACCAGTGATTTCGCACACAGTTTAGCCCCGTCCTAGCAGGAACTCACTTGTTAGGATCTTGATCACTCTACATTGTACTTGATCTGATTATGTCTGGTTATACTTATTGATTGGCCTTATGTCCAGGTACATTTTGCTTAGGCCCTCGAATTCATCCCAAGTGTGGTGGATGGTGTTTTGCCCTGACTAATATAATTTATAGAAGTCAGACTGGACAGGTCGATACTGGTAAGAAACCCAAAATCGGGGCTGGCAATGACGAGGTTAACCACCAAACCGCCATCCTCACAGCCAGCCGCGAGTATCGCTTCTCCTTCCACGTTTCCTCGCCAGAATTGCCTGCGCTTTATCCGCCAACTCGCACACTCTCCAGCGCAATGCGCCGTCCTTTCAGCGTATCTGCCGCTTCGTGCCCCTCCCTCCCCAACACCTTCCTTCTCCGCCCGTCCAGCTGAATCGTTATCTGGGTCGCATCGTCTCTCACATTAACCTTCTCGTGCTCTCCATCATTGCGGCACCCGCCTCTGCCCGCGCCCGTCGTCGTACCGCGCGAAACTTTGTGAATGCGGCGGCAACCAACGTAGTCTGCTTCCGCTCCGCCTGTCCACTCCGCGTGGCGTGCGCCCCGCGCCATGCAGCGGCCGATCGCGGGCCGTCTGAAGCACGCGGGGTCGACGCCGCTCGTGGTCGTAGCGGACGACGTGCCGCCCATCAGAATCGCGGAGCGCCGTGCGATCGACCACCTGAGCGATCTCGACCATCCACGTGGCTCCCCGCTCGCCAGTGGCAAGCACGCGAGCCCACAAGCCGCCGCCTTCCGCGCGTCCTCCGCCGGCGGCGGCGTCGCCTCCCCGGTCGCCGCCTTCTCCCCCGCGGCGCTCTCCCGCGAGTTCGCTCTCGCCGCCGGCAGCCACTTCCACGGCAGCCCCGCGCACGCGCACGCGGGACACGGCGCACACGCGGGCCACGGGGTGGGGGGAAGCGGAGCGGCGGGCGCGGAGAGGGCGGGCGGGGGCGCGGTGGTGTCGAACGTGGCGGTGGTGGCGGTGCTGCTGCTGCTTCTGAACCTGTCCACCATCTACCTCTTCTTCCAGTCAGGGCTCTCCTCGCGCTCCCTCTCCGCCGCCTCCGCCGACATCCGCCTGCGCAGCGCCCCGCAGGAGCGCGCCATGGCGCACCACGCCGCGCTCTCCAGCGACCCCCCCGCCCGCCCACGGTACGCCGCTGCCATGCGCTGGCAGGCCGTACGCACTGCTTGGGGTGCCACCTCTGCTGCATGACACCGCATTGCATTGCATTCCATTGCATTGCATTGCATTGCATTGCATTGCATTCCATTGCATTGCATGCTACCACGCGATGACCAGTCCCATGATGTCTCTCCCACCCATTTCCCTCCCCACCACCCCCCCTCCCCTCCCCATTCTCAAACCCACCCTTCCTCCTCTCCCCCCTCCCAGCACGCATGCAGGTGGGGGGGCAAGCAGCAATCCGGTGCAGGCGGAGGGGGGGGCGGGCATGGGGAGGGGCGTGGGTGCGCATCTGAGCGCGGCAGTGAGGGCGAGGGAGACGGTGAACGGGCGGCTGTTTCACATCGCGCCGGGGCTGGCGGCCAGCAAGGTGCCCTGGAACGCCACCGACAACTCGTTTCTGCTCTCCCTCGTACGCTCCCTGCCTCCCCTCCCTCCCGCTCTACGCCCCTTTTCTCTCTCCTATGGCCGCCCTCGCCCTACTCCATGTGCCTCTCTCTCTCTAGATGCCTGCCGAGGGTGTTGATGCCGCCACATGCCATGCGCCCATCCACATGCCATGCTCCCATCCACATGCCATGCTCCCATCCACATGCCATGCTCCCATCCACATGCCATGCTCCCATCCACATGCCATGCTCCCATCCACATGCCATGCTCCCATCCACATGCCATGCTCCCATCCACATGCCATGCTCCCATCCACATGCCATGCTCCCATCCACATGCCATGCTCCCATCCACATGCCATGCTCCCATCCACATGCCATGCTCCCACATGTCTAGTTCCCATTTCCACATGCCGTGCCCTCACATTCTTGGCCTCGCGCTTCCCTGCACCCCTGTGCCTCTGCCTGTGCCTCTTCGCCCCTGCCTGTGCCCTTTCGCGTCTGGCCTCCCTCCCTCCCTTGGCATGTGCCCCTGGCGTGAATGGAAGGGCAGAGGGGCAAGTGGGACGTGAGGTCGTTCTCGCTCATGCCGGGGGTGTTCCTGCTGCAGCAGCCCGACGACTTCGCCTGTGTGCTGCTCATCCAGGACGCCTGCTACGTGCACATGACAGGTGGGTGGGTACCACGTGGCACATGACAGATGGGTGGTGCCACGTGGCACATGACAGGTGGGTGGGTGCCACGTGGCACATGGCAGGTGAGTGATACGTGCACATGACAGGTGCGTCGTCACTCGTGCACATCACAGGTCCACTGCTGCAGCACGCACGGTGGTTCTCGGCCAAGAAAGCACCTTTACTTGCACTTATGAGTTATCGCCTCATACCCACCTCCTGTCTCCCCACCCCCTCCTCCCCACCGCTCCCGCAGGTTCGTTACGCCTGCGCGTGGCAGCAGCAGGCAAGGCATGTGGTGGGTGAACGAGGGCGGGCGTGCTTTGAGCTGCACTCCATCAGCAACACCCGCACTGCACTCCCCCTCCCCCCCGATCCCCCACCCCACCTCCTCCTCCCAGGCCCTTCGTGCCGGCACACAGCATCAGCGGGCATGTGGTATGCAGACGAGGGTGTGCGCCACTTCACTCCATCACCACCTCCAACCACCTCTGCTCTCCCATCCGTCCGCTCCTCCCCCCCCGCCGCTCCCCCCTTCCCTTGCCCTCTCCTCTCCCCCAGGTCCATCGCGGCTGCACGCGCCGATGGCGGGCATGTGGTTTTCGGACGAGGGCGTGCGCGACTTCAAGCGCATCAGCACCTCCAACGACCTCTGCTCGCTCTTCCCCGACGCCCTCGCCGACCATCAAGACCACGCCTGGCGCTCCCTCTCGCCCCGAGAGGCCCGCGCTGCCCTGGAACGAGAGGGCACTGTTGGGAGAGATGTGGTGCGGTTGAGAGGGGTGGAGGAGGAGGGAGGAGCTGGGGAAGTGGATGGGCGGAAAGGGGGTGCGGGAGGTGGGAGGAAGGGGAGTGGGGTGGGGAAGGAGAGGTATGGTGGGAGGGTGGAGCGAAGGGAGGAGGAGGAGGAGGAGGGGGATTGGAGGGACAGCGGTCGGGTTGGGTACTCAGCTGAGGAGGGGGAGGAGGGGGAGGAGAGACGGGCTCACATGGACAAGAGGCGACGCCTCCTATCCAAATCGGAGCAAAAACCCACCAAAACCCACAACCCTGTGCCTTCCCACCCTAAAAAAGCCACCCCTTCAGCCACCCAGTCACCACCCACCCCACCCCAGCAGCAGCAGCAGCAGCAGCAGTCAGCAGCACCCGTGGTCCTGTCGGGGTTTGAGAACCAGGCACCGGGGTTCACGGACGAGTTTGACGAGGAGCTGCACGACATCACGGACATCAAGCGCCGTGAGAACCGCGTGTACGGCCGCTTCGAGAGCGCGCACGCGGTGGCGCGCTACCTCAACCTCAGTGACGCAGCTAGTCGGGCGCGGATGGCCAAGGGGCCGAAAGGGGGGCGCGTGGAGAAGGTGGGGTATGTGCCGCGGCATAACACGTACATGGGGGATTTTGGCGAGGCCGTTGTGCCGCTCATGCAGGCCGCCGGTGAGTGCTTCGCCACCTCTTTGTCTCCCTCTCTCATGTCATTCTCGCCTCCTTGTCTCCCTCTCTCATGTCAATCGCCTCCTTGTCTCCCTCTCTCATGTCAATCGCCTCCTTGTCTCCCTCTCTCATGTCAATCGCCTCCTTGTCTCCCTCTCTCATATCAATCGCCTCCTTGTCTCCCTCTCTCATGTCAATCGCCTCCTTGTCTCCCTCTCTCATGTCAATCGCCTCCTTGTCTCCCTCTCTCATATCAATCGCCTCCTTGTCTCCCTCTCTCATGTCAATCGCCTCCTTGTCTCCCTCTCTCATGTCAATCGCCTCCTTGTCTCCCTCTCTCACGTCAATCGCCTCCTTGTCTCCCTCTCTCATGTCAATCGCCTCCTTGTCTCCCTCTCTCATGTCAATCGCCTCCTTGTCTCCCTCTCTCACGTCAATCGCCTCCTTGTCTCCCTCTCTCATGTCAATCGCCTCCTTGTCTCCCTCTCTCATGTCAATCGCCTCCTTGTCTCCCTCTCTCACGTCAATCGCCTCCTTGTCTCCCTCTCTCATGTCAATCGCCTCCTTGTCTCCCTCTCTCATGTCAATCGCCTCCTTGTCTCCCTCTCTCATGTCAATCGCCTCCTTGTCTCCCTCTCTCATGTCAATCGCCTCCTTGTCTCCCTCTCTCATGTCAATCTCGCCTCCTTGTCTCCCTCTCTCATGTCAATCGCCTCCTTGTCTCCCTCTCTCATGTCAATCGCCTCCTTGTCTCCCTCTCTCATGTCAATCGCCTCCTTGTCTCCCTCTCTCATGTCAATCGCCTCCTTGTCTCCTTGTCTCCTTGTCTCAGCTACGGTGGCACCTCTCACGTCCTGCCGGGACAGTGCCTGGGGTGACAGGCTTGCCACGGCATCGCTGGGGCACTGGCATGGATTATCTCCCTCAACACTGCACACCACCCCCGCCCCTGCAACCCCCCTTCCCCATTCCTTCCCCTGCCCCTGCAACCCTGCTCGCCCCTTTCCTCCACCAACCGTCCCACTCCCCCATGCTCCCCTCCTTCCCCCCCAGTGCACCTGGTGCGCGCCCCCCCATCGGACCCATCAAAGGACACGAGGGGGGAGGGGCGCGTGGTGTTCTTCCCGGGGGAGCATGAGGTGCGCAGCGCGTGGACGGCTGACATGGCGCACATCCTCTTTGGCCCCAAGGCTCTGCTGCTGCTCGGCCACTCGCCCGGGCTCAAGGTGAGCGGCAGCAGGTGAGAGACAGGAGGTGAGGGGCAGAAGGTGGGTGGGGCAGAAGGTGGGTGAGAGTGAGGGTTCAAGGTGTGTGAGGGGAGGGAACAGGTGAGGGACAGGGGCTGACAAGCACAAAAACCACCCCTCCATACACATATGATTTCGCACGGCCCTCCTCCCCACGAACCGCCTCCGCACACTCCCCCGCCACTGCCCTTGTCTGCAACCCCATTCCATTCCCTTGGTCCTTTTCCTGCCTCGGCCCTCCAGTTCCCACCCCCCCCTATCTTCTTTCCAACCCCATTCTCCAAGAGCGTTTCCCCCCTCCCTACCCCCAAACCGAATCAGAATTAGAAACTCAATGATTCCATGATAGATTGGACTGGTCCCTCAGCAGCCCCCCTCCGCTCGGCGCCCACCAAACCCGCCTGTACCCAATCACGCCACTGCCCTTCCTTCCTCTCCCGCTCCCACCCTTTCCCTCCGCACTGCTGTGCCTTCCCCTCCCCCTTCTCCATGCCCTGCTCCCCCCTTCTCCATGCCCTGCTCCCCCCTTCTCCATGCCCTGCTCCCCCCTTCTCCATGCCCTGCTCGCCCCTTCTCCATGCCCTGCTCCCCCCTTCTCCATGCCCTGCTCCCCCCTTCTCCATGCCCTGCTCCCCCCTTCTCCATGCCCTGCTCCCCCCTTCTCCATGCCCTGCTCCCCCCTTCTCCATGCCCTGCTCCCCCCTTCTCCATGCCCTGCTCCCCCCTTCTCCATGCCCTGCTCCCCCCTTCTCCATGCCCTGCTCCCCCCTTCTCCATGCCCTGCTCCCCCCTTCTCCATGCCCTGCTCGCCCCTTCTCCATGCCCTGCTCGCCCCTGCGCGCCCCACCTCTGAGTGCGCCAGGTGTGTTTCCGCAACGCACTCTTCCCGCTGAACCGCCTGCACACGGCGCAGGCAGCGGACACGCTGAGGCAGTGGGCGCTGCTGGGCGCGGGGGGGCGCAGCAAGGGCAAGGGCAAGAAGGGGAGGCAGTCGGGTGTGGTGCGCGTGAAAGTGCTGCGCACCAGCCGCAGCCTGCCGCCCGAGCCAGCCACAACTGGATCCCAGGTTGGTCGAGTGGAGAGGGGTGGCGAGAGATAGGTGGGGGGAGAGGGGTGGTAGTGTGTGGGAGCAGCAGGTTCGTCATATCTCAGTGGTGCATGTGCAATGCAACGGTGGGGGGGAAACAGCAGGTGAGGAAAAGCAGCAGGTGAGGAAAAGCAGCAGGTGAGGAAAAGCAGCAGGTGAGGAAAAGCAGCAGGTGAGGAAAAGCAGCAGGTGAGGAAAAGCAGCAGGTGAGGAAAAGCAGCAGGTGAGGAAAAGCAGCAGGTGCGGAAAAGCAGCAGGTGCGGTATGGTGTGGGAGAGAAAGCATGTTTGTGTGTGGCATGTTTGTGTGTGGCATGTTTGTGTGTGGCATGTTTGTGTGTGGCATGTTTGCTCACCCCATGGCCCCATGCTCTAACACTCCCTCCGGTCGCTGCCCTTGCACTCCCCCCTTGTGCACCCAACCCCCGTGTGCACCCAACCCCCGTGTGCACCCAACCCCCTTGTGCACCCAACCCCCTTGCACACCCCCCTTGCACACCCCCCTTGCACACCCCCCTTGCACACCCCCCTTGCACACCCCCCGTGTGCACGGGGTGTCAGGCGCTGCCTGCCCTCCCCCACCCTCTCTCCCCCCCTCCTCTTCCTGACTGCTCCTCCTCGACCTCCCCAGGTCTCCTCTGCCCCGCGGCGCATGAGGTGGCAGGTGATGGTGCTGGAGCGAGGTAGGTTGCAGTCCGCACTGCACATCAATCGTCCCACACTGCTGTTGTGGTCTCCTCCCATCCGTGTCGCCGCGTGACTCAATCGCAGGTGCCTGGTGGCAACAGGCATGGCGCGCATGCTCTTGGAGCCACGAGCGGGTTAGTCTGCATACCCACCCATCCCATGCTCCCGCTATGTTCTCCTCCCATCCCTGTCTCCCCTTGGCTCTTACCAGGTGCCCCTCGCCCCGCAGCGCATGCGCTGGCAGGTGATGCTGCTGGAGCGGAAGCAGGGTTAGTATGCACGACCCCCCACCCCATGCTCCTGCCGAGTTCTCCTCGTGCCATCTGTGTCTCCCTGCGACTCAATCCAGCTGCCATCAGCCCCTCGGTGCATGCGCTGGCAGCTGACACTGCTGGAGCGGGAGCAAGGGTGGTCTCCTCTCCATGCCCCTCGCCTCAGCAATGCCCCCCTGTCCGCCTCCCATCTCCTGCCCCGCCCAGGTGCCCCCTGCGCCGCGGCGCATGAGGTGGCAGGTGACGGTGCTGGAGCGCGAGAGGGGGCGGTCGGTGATGAACGGGCAGGAGGTGGCGCGCGTGGCACATGCTCTCTTCCCCGAGATGCCGCTGCTCATCGCCCGGGTCGGCAAGGCCTCTGCCTCTGACCACGCTCTGCTGCTCAAGGTGGGGTGGGGGGTAAGAGGGAGAGGGGCATGGGAAGGGTGTGGGGTGAGGAGCGTTGCAAGGCGGCCGCCTTGGACCACGCGCTGCTGCTGGAGGCGGTGCTTTTGAGGGGCGGTTGTGGTCGCTGGCACAGGATTGAAGGGAGAAGGAGAGGTTGGGAAATGTGCTGGGAAAAGGAGCAGGAGAGTGGGCACGGGAGGTGGGGGCCTGGGTCAGTGCCCATGTGTTTCACTTGAGGCTCTTGCGTGACCTGAAGCAGCACACCGCCACGCTGCATTTGACCTCCGTCCCATCTCTTCGCCACTCCATCTGCAACCACATGATTTGAGCAGCCTGTCTGTACGCCAACTCCACCCCCACTCTCCCTTTCCCCCATTCCCCCCCCTCTCTCCCCCTCCCCTCCCCCCTTTCCCATCCCTTTCTCAGAACACCCTGGTGCTGATATCCCTGCACGGCACGCCGCTCACCACGGCACTCTTCATGCCGCGCGGCTCAGTGGTGGTGGAGCTCTTCCCCTACAAGTTCCTCAGCACGCTCTACAAGAAGATCGCCATGCGCTCCGGCGTGCACTACCTCGCCTGGCGCAACATCCATGACATCAGCGCCTTTTTCCGCAACTCGTGCATGAAGGACGGGGGGTTCACGCACCTGCCCGAGGAGCAGTGCTGGAATATTCACGAATGTGTGGCGTGCGCGCGTGATCAGAGCATTACGAGGGTAGATCGGAGGGAGTTCAAGGAGGTTATGGCCAATGCGAGAATGCTTGTCAGAACGCTTGTTTACAATAATACCGTGTAGGCTTGACGTTTTCAGAGTATTGCTAATTTTTGGTAGATCTCAGGGGGCAACTCAAGGTGCTAATATGGATGTATCAATGTTCACTCAAGTCGGTGCTTATTTGAATGGGTGGGGCAATTCAACCGTTCAATATTCAGCTAAAACGCACTCAACCGTGTATTGAAAAGCGTGTGGACTTCCGCGCGGGGCCTTTGCGATGCTTCTCGACTGGGTGCGCATTCTGCCAAGCAAATTAACACACCCCGAGGTAGTGTTTCGTGAGCACTTCGTTGATATTGCAATCTACTGGAAAGGTGTAACAACACTTTTACAAACGACAGCAGACGACCCGCACGACCGTCGTGACGCTCGAAGGCCGAGAAGACGTCGCGAAGGGTCGGGTCCCTCGCTCCACACAATCCCTCCTACGTACAACAGACTTAGACGCGGTTCGGTAGCTTTCAGATTGATTCGGCAGGGTTGACGGGCTGGAAAAGTGGTCCTCGAGCCGCGACGAGCTCCCTCGCCAACGAAAATAGGTTTGGAGGTCGGTTCAGCGCTTGTGATCCAAGAGGAGGTAATATTAGCAATCACGGAACGCGTACTGGGTCTGCCTTAAAAAACTTGCGTGGTTTCCTCGTCCCGCCTGGCGCTCGTAGCTCTGTCGCCCATTCGTACCGCACAATCTCTGCAATTCTAGTCTCCCTCTTTGCTTACCATCGCGTCTAATTAGTTATAGTGACTCTCCTTGTACGACCCTGGATGTCATATTTCGAAAACCTTTAGCGACGCATGCTGCTCACCCATCAACGCGCGCTTTCGCTTACCGTTGCACGCTCTCCGTAAAGCTTCGTCAGATTCCCTGTAGCTTCGTCAGATTCGCCATAGCAACTTAGCTTTCGCCCTGAGCAACACGAGCAGGCGAAGGGAGCAGCAGCGCGTCGTCGAGTGACACTCATAGCAGCACCGCCAAGGCGCTCGGCGCCCGCAGCGCAGCAATCGTCCTTGCTCGCTCGGAACACGCGGTGTCACTATCAGTGAACCCCTGGTGCGAGGGGAGAGGGGGCAGCAAGAGCAGCGTGGGCACACGGGGGGCAGCGAAAGGGGCGATGGAGGCGGGAGCGAAGCGGCCTGAAGATGTGTCTCTGCCCAAAGGTACCTCCGAGCGCCTTCAAGCCCAGCGCTGCCCCGGATGCCTCAAATCCCGCTGTTCTTTGCCGCGCTCTGGCGCTCCAATCTCCACCCTTGGCCTCTCTGCTCTCCCTGCAAGGACTCTAGTCGGGTGCAGCCCCCAGTGCCTGCTCCGCTCCCTTCCTACTCCCAGCACCGCCATCGTTTTATTTCATCTCCGGCGTCACCCTCTCCTCTCCCTTTCCCACTTTTTGTTTTATCCTCACGGGTGTTTGTCAGCGACAATGAGTAGGCTAATAAAGGAGATGCTGCCACGCGACGTGCGAGTTTCCAAGGACACGCAAGACCTCCTCATGGACTGCTGCCTCGGTGGGTTGCCTCGGTGGGTTGCCTCGGTGGGTTGCCTCGTTGGGTTGCCTCGGGTGGCTTGCCTCGATGGGTTGCCTCGGTGGGTTGCCTCGATGGGTTGCCTCGGTGGATTGCCTCGGTGGGTTCATGGTCTCATGCCTCATGGACTCATGTCTCATGGACTCATGTCTCATGGACTCATGCCTCATGGACTCATGTCTCATGGACTCATGCCTCATGGACTCATGTCTCATGGACTCATGCCTCGTGGACTCGTGTTTCCTCGCTGCCAGCCCGGGTGGGTCGAGAGTGCTTGTATGAACGCAGTGTGTCAAGTTTTCTCACTTCCCACTCGTTCACTCTCCTGCTTGATGGACTTCTCCTCCCCAAGCCCATCCTGCTTGAAGGATCATCCAGTGCGCGCAGAAAGGTTTTGTGCCCTCTAATGCCACATGCTGCGTGTTCGCCTGGGCGTGCCGGCACTGCCACACCGTGCTTCGCGCCTCCCCCTGCAGAGTTCATCAATCTGATCTCATCGGAGGCGAATGAGATGTGCAGCAAGGAGGACAAGCGCACCATCGCCCCCGAGCACGTGCTGCAGGCGCTCGAGGTGAGAGGGGGCGGTGGGGTGAGATGGAGGGGTGTGGGGTGAGAGAGAGGACGGTGAGGTGACATAGAAGGCGGTGGGGGTGAGAGATAGGGCGGTGGGGTTGAGAGAGAGGACGGTGGGGGTGAGATAGAGGGTGGTAGGGTTGAGATAGAGGGCGATGGTGGTGAGTGGTAGAAGTAAGCCAGTCCATACCTTCCCTGCCCATGCCCTGGCCTTGCCAATTGAATCTCTCGGACACTTTGCTGCCTCTTTTCCTCTCCTGCTGCGTCTTTCCCACTCTTTTGACACTCTACCCCTCTCGTGTTGCCTGTCTCCCCTTCGCTTGCGCGTGCATGCAGTCGCTGGGCTTCAGCAGCTATCTGGCGGAGGTGCAGGCAGCATACGACCAGCACAAGTCTGAAACACTGGTGACCCACGCACGCCCTCACGCCCCTCCACACACTCCCCTCCTCTCTGCCGTGTTCCATGGTGCAACCCACGATTCACCCCATCGCCTCCACTTCCTCCATTGCCTGCACGGCCTCTTCTGGTTCTGCTGACGCTCGTGGACCTTGAGGCTCGTGGACCTTGAGGCTGCTGCAGCACTCAAGGGGTGCACAGCACAGCCTGTTGGTCAGCCCTCATGGCTGCGCCACTCACGTGGACTGCATTCTGCTCTGGAGTGACTCGTCTGCGTGTGCCCACCTGGTGGACGCATCCACCAAGCCACATGCTTGACTGTCACAGTGCCATGTCACCAATGAATCCTGGACCACCATCTCTCCCACTCCCCTTGCACTCCCCCGCTCTCTCTCCCTGCAGGGGTCACTGCGCGCGCTGGGGTGGTGGAGCAGCAGCAAGCCATTCGTGGGACATACATGTCTCTGACAATCTGCCCTGCATGCTCCCCTCTCACACCCCCACCCCCACCAACTCCCTCCCTGCCCCTCCCTTGCAGGAGTCACCATGCACGCTGGGGCAGTCGAGCAGCGGCAAGGGACCTCTGACTCTCTGCCTTGCATGCTCCCCTCCACCCTCCCCTCCTCCACCCTCCTCCTTCCTCCCTCCCCCTGCAGGAGTCACCGCGGGCGCTGGGGCGGTCGAGCAGCAGCAAGGCATCGGGGGCGGTGGGGATGAGTGAGGAGGAGGCGATAGCGGAGCAGCAGAAGATGTTTGCCGAGGCGCGCGCTGCCATGCTCAACCTGCAACGGCCCCCCTCCTGATCGCCATCGCTGCCATACGCTTCTGCTACATTTGTTGCTTCCTTGGTGCGACGCTTGTACGCGCACTGTGCACGTTCATGCCCTTCTTCTGTAGCGCTGTTCTTCTGAAGTGCTGTTCTTCTGTAGTGCCATTTCTTTTGTTCTGCATGAGCCAATCTACTGTGTCCTGCCCATGGACGGCCATGCTGCATCGCCTCGCGCTCCTGTCCTTATATGAACGGTGGGGCCTCGGGCGAGCTTGTTGGTGTGATGTGCACGGCGGTTCTTCTGGTGGGATGCAAGTGCAGTGTAGGGCTGTGCCGTGTTGTGTTGTGTTGTGTGATCAACCCAGTGCATGAGATGCACAAAGAGGGCAGCTGCAGTGGGTGGAGTGGTGATGGGAGGGCACCAACACAAGAGCGCATACTACCGTACTAGGGCTCCAAACTGGAGGGCTGCAAACTGACCTGGTTGCTGTTTTTGCTTCATAATTCATGTGCTTAGGTGGAAAAGGTTCTTGAATCACGCATCAGAAATAATCTTGAATCCTTGAATCCGCTGCTACCCGTATGAAGGGCAGACGACTGGTGAATACACACTAACTCACGAAGAAACCACTGAGAATTTCTCAAAGACGTATGCTACTCAGTAGCCGGTGACAGTGGATGAGACCGACCCCTTCATGATGGTGGTGAGAACTTGAAGCGAAAGCGTAAAGGCCGAAGGAGTATTGAACAGCCTGTTGGGCTGAACGCCCTAGGATCTTTAGTAGAGTTAAAGTCTGAGTAAATGATGTAGTAGCGGAAGCGTTTGAATAAAGTCCTTGAACCACCTTGCGCTGGTATGTGAGGGCAAAGTAAGTTAATTAAAGCAAAGAGATACAGGAATATATATACGGTATGAGTACAGAGAATATGAAGAGACATGGTAATTGTAACTTTTTTACTGTTGCGGTTCGATACAGTGCGACTCGGGCAACTGCTCAATGTCGAGTCAGTTGTGTGTCCTTGCTGTCGCGCTGCGTCAGGTCAAAGGTCGCTGACCTTTGACTTTCTCGTAACCTCCAGCGGTTACGTTAACCTCCGAGGGTTGACTCGCGGTGCTTCGATTTGAGCTACTTCGCTTGTGTCTTGAGTTTCGACATGACAGAGGCGCTTAAGACTATTTGTTCCCAACACTCCCCTTCGCTTCTGGAGTGTCGCTGATGGTGACGTGGCTTTGTCCAGTCAGCAGCATGCAGTACTCGAACTTCTGTTTTCCGAGCTTCTTGGTCAAGTAGTCAGCTGCCATCTCAGACGTGGGACAGTAGGATAGTTTGAGTTTCCCTTTCTCGATCTTGTCTTTCACGAAGAAATATCGCAGGGCGATATGCTTCGTTCTGTTCGCGAATCCGCTCTTGTTGGCGATGCGAATCGCAGATTGGTTGTCGCAGAACAGAGTGAAGTTGGGTAACTCGGCTAACTTCGCTTCTTCCAGCAGCTCGCGAAGATAGAGTCCTTCCTTGGTGGCTGAGCAGAGTGCGATATATTCTGCTTCAGCTGAGGAGAGAGCGATTAGTTCCTGCTTGCTCGATTGCCAGGAGATAGGTCCGATAGGTTCGAGGGGGTAGATGTAGCCAGTGCGGGAGCGTCTGTTGTCTGAATCGCCGGCGTGATCGGCATCGACGTAGCCGATTAGTTTCGTCGGTGTAGTTTTACTCTTGTAGTATGTCAGGCCGATCGTCGAGGTGCTCACGAAGTAGTGGAGAGCGC